CTCTACCGTCTCAGCTTTGGGCGTCTCAGGGAAGCCGAGGCTCGCAGGTGGAGCCCGGGTCTGAGCGCATTCTAGCCGCCCCGGCGTCCCGATCGCTCCCGGGAAACCTCGGCCCGGGGCTTCTGGCAGCGCCCGCGGCGCAGGGCTCGCGGAGCGAGGTGTTCTGCGGGGAAGGGTGAACCGGACAGGCCATGGGCGCGCAGCGCGGGAGCGTGGGCTTTCGCTGTCTCTTGCTCTTGGCTCTCTTTGGGTGCACCCGAAGCGAGGGCGTGCAGACCTGCGAAGAAGTTCGGAAACTTTTCCAGTGGCGGCTCGCGGGAGCTGTCAAGGGGCTGCCGGATTCGCCGCGGGCAGGTAAGGAGCCGCAGGCCGGCTGGGGCTCGGCGCCAGGCGCGGGGCAGGGTTCCCGGGCTTCGGAGCTGGCCCTTCGAGGCAAGATGACCTTCCAGGCACCTAGCCGCGCAAGATGAATGCTGAGAAGGCTCGGGGGGAGTCTCGGGGCGCCGCTCGGTGACCCCTAACTGCGCCTGCGGCCACGGGAGCTCTAGGCGCCGCTTCCCGCCGGCTCCTTCGTCTCGCAGGATGCGCTGGAAGGAGCTAGGAAAGCCGGCATCTGGGGACAGCTGGCACGACCGCGTTTCTCTTAGGAGAGGGAATTGCACTGAGACCCGTTTTCTCACAAACCGAAAGCAGTTGGGTTGTTTGTCCCAAGCTGATAGTAAAAACATGAACAAGGGCAACCGTCTTTTCTGTAATTAGGATACTGTACACGGCGAGAAGCGAGCGCGAGGGGCCCCTGCGCACCTTGGCACCTAGTCTTCCTTGTAGGAAACCGGACTTCCCAGTGTATCTCCCAGAACTGCGAGGGAGTTTCAGATCTGAAAGGTGTGAGGGCAACAGGAGATCAAATTTACATACCAGGGAGCCACACAACGCGGATGAGATAAACCAGAGTCTCAAAGGAGGTAAATGGTTAGCTGGCCAGTGCAGATCATGCTTCCTGTGAACACATTTTGACTTCGCTTTCATGCCCCAATCCCCAATCTCACCGCGCAAATTTTTGTCTACTGGCAGGCGTTGCAGGGCTTGCTCTGTTCCGAAGAATAGGTCTTAGTTGTCCAAAATATCAGATGTTATTGGAGCAATGCACTTCTTTAGCTGTGACTGCGAAGAAAGCACAGAAATGAATGCTGTTTGATTACTTGGTTGAACAAAGAACTTGTGGAGGATGGTGAGTCTAAAATTCACCTGCTGCCTGGGTTCCAAGGTTCAGAGACCTGCTCGGAGCACTACCCAGCTGTAGCACATTTATTTGATTGCTTTTCTGGCCGTGAACACAGTTCCTGTCATCCCGAGAAGAAAATCTAGTTATTTGGGAACAATGAATACATTTGAGTTTACATGACCTTCTTAAACACAGAACTATATATTTGAATGCCTATTAGGCATTGCTAGATGTTTTTACCCCACTACTTGAAACAACGTAGTTGATATTCTTGTCTCCTCAAGCAACATACCTTCTTGTAAATACATGTTTTAATTTCAGTGGATTGTTTTCATTAAGAAATAAATCTCAGCTGCTGGTAAAGCTAAAGCGTACGTGTGTATATGTGCGTATGGTGAGGGTGTTGAGCTGTGAAATCCTCATTTGATTTGTTAGGTTTTGTTCCCCAAATGCCATAATTTTGGCTGAGATGTTCAGTGAGTGTTGCTGCCTCCCCAGTAAGGCCCTAATTTCAATCCCTTCTCATATCTCAGTATTTCTGGTGCCTGCTTAATGCAACACATCCGCTAGAAGATATTGCATTTCTAGAAATGTGTATGTCATTTATTTTGAAGAGGAACTTCCCAGAGTATTAATCACTGAGGTAACATTCTACCAACATGTACTGTACAGGAAGACAGAAGCTCTGCTCTACTGAGAAAGAAAAGGTTGTCCTTATTTGTGCTGACACATAGCACATAAAGTGCCGGGATGGCAAGAATCTTCTTTTCTAAATTCTGAATTGTCCCCCATTGCTAGCCCTTTTGAAATCTGTGGCTTAAGCTGATGAAGTAATCACAGCAGCATCACTGAAGGGGCTGGGCAAGCTGCATTCTTACAGACATTGTGGGTGCTGGAGGAAGGGAGTGAGTGCTAAATGCCTCTGATATTTTAATTAAGAAAAGGTCATGTGAAAATGCTATCCTGACTTGGCCTCATCCAACAGAAGACATTAATATATGAATTTGATACAACTCTGATTTTCCTTGTTTCTGTATTGTTGGTCATTCATTTGAATAATTCAACAAAATATTAAACTCTTTTTTATTAAATTCTTTCTTTTAACGTCTATTTCTTTCTTCCCAACTAAAAAAATCTTTTTTAAATTATGTGAAGTACACATACCATATTTTTAGTAAATTTTTTTCTTTATTTCTGTATTATATGTAATTTGTAACATCTAATGTGATTGAATAGCAGTAATTGGAGATATTATTGTCTAAAATCATCCTCAATCTCAAGGGAGATATAATTAGAACATAAGTAGTCATTTCTATATGAGGATACAAATACTAGCATTCTTTTAATAAATGTGTTTAGCACACAGACCTTCACTGACAGAACTAATGCACTAATTTGTATTTGTTTTTCTTAGAAGTATATTTTCAGTACTGTTTTACATTTCTTGTCCACAGTGATTAATTCCTGAGATGTCCAGCCTAAATGCCATTTTTATAATGTAAGAAGGTAGAATAAGTTTTTACAGTTTCTTCCTTCACTTTGACTTTTATAACTTCTGAAAAGTATGTTATTCAGTTTAAAATTATTATATGGTGAGAACAGCCATTTAAACTGCTTCTCAGATTTCCCTCACTTTTGTTCTGTACACTGCTCCAATTCTTTTAAGCCTATTGAACTCCTCAGGATGTTTGGACGAGAAATATAAAAAAGGAAAGAAGGTGTAAGTGTGTTTAGAATTACAGATTTCCCTGTGTTCCAGTTTTATTTCTTAAGTAGTAGTCAAGGTGCCCTTTGCTCTTATTAATTTTATTCAGAAAAGAACTATTGATGGAAGTGTCTTTTAAAGGTCCTTTTATTTATTTGGGAGGGGAGGTATTGCTGTCCCATTGAAATTCTCTTCACACATGCCTTGTTCACAATGCATTATTTCCTCCTTTAGAGATTTTCCTCCTTCAGAGATTCATAAAGAAATTGAAGAGTACATTCAGGTGATTTATATACTAACTAGGTTTTAAAATGTGCTGTTGATAGAAAACTCTACATTTGTGCAAGATTAGCCTTAGTTAACTCTCTGTTACTATAACAAAATACCTGAAGCACTTCGCTTATACAGGAAGACATGTTTATATGGCATATGGTTTTGAGGTCTCCAGTCCAGGATCAAGTGGTCCCGATGTCTTGGGACTTTGGTGAGTTAGCACATCATGGTGGAGCAAAATGCTCAAGGAAAGAGAGCATGAGGAAGAGGCTAGCTTCCTATAATTCCCTTCGAGCACACACTTGCAATGACCCAGAACTTCCCACCAGCCTCTGCCTCCAAAAGTTTCCATCATTCCTTCCAGTAGTACAACCTGTGGGACCAAGTCTTTAACACACGGACCTGTAGTGAGCATCCAGCATCCAGACTGCAACAATGACTTTTCCTTGGTAGGTTTTGCCTCTAAGTCGAAGGAGTATGATAAATTTGATGTGACAAAATGAAGTTCTAATGCTCAGACTCCCTTTTTAAGTGGCACTCTGGGGGTTTTGTTTTGTTTTAAACTGCTTTTAATGTAATCAAATCTTATAATTCCTCCAAGGACAGGTTGTTTTATTCTCCTACCTAAGAGAAACAATCTACCGGGTAATCTTAGAATTTGGAATCATAGACATCTGAGTCTTGAAGCTCAGTTTTTCCACTTGTAGTTCTATGCCCTGGGTTAGTCAGTTATCATCTTTGAACCTTTGATTCCTCATCTGTAAAATGGGAATATCCTGGAAAGGTGGATGCAAAGGTAAAAGGAAGTAAGGGATGTAAAGTGACCTAAATCCAGGCACATCATAAGTATTCAAAGTATACTCTTGTTTTATTATAATTTTATTGCATGCGTCGGTTTTAGATTTAATTTGATTTGTAAGGATGAAATTTTAGTTTTAGAGCTATATATAGATTTTATAATAATGAGATGTTTTCAGTTACAAGTGATTCTAAATTGGAAAATGTTTATTGAAAATGACATGTATTAAGTTATAGTGAATATTTTATTTTGTGTTGTGAAGTAACAAAACTTTTTAGAAAAATCGAGATTCTACTGCTGCTCTCTGCAATATCTGTAGCCATGACCTCGACTGCTGTCACCACCACTCTGGTTCTGTTTGTGTTCAGGGAGTCAAAATAATGTATGTCGGGTGGTTTCAGGATTCACAAAATCAAATGTTAGATGTCTGTAATCACCATTGACAGTAATTTCTAACTGAGATTCTCAAATTGGGACTTACATCTGCTTGAATAGCATAGTTATGGTGATCATATTTCCATAGCCAAAACTGAGACCGATGGCTTGACACTGAGGTGGACTATTAATACTAGGACGGTGCTGTGTTGAAACCCACCACACTGAACCACAGGAAATAAGACCGTACACAAACAAATTAGATTCATTTTTCTGTCTGTAGCAAGGGAAGATTGCACACCCAGGAACTGAAAATGTCTTGGAAACCAGCAGTTGGGAGGGCTTTCTAGAGGAATTGGAGTTTTGCTCCATGGATTTAGGAAGGTTTAATGAACGGAGACAATTAAGATATTGGCTATATGAGTGACTTTATCCAGGTGTTAGAAAGATTAAGGAGGGGCTAGTCATTCATAAAGAGGTAGTAGTAACTAGAGTCTGTCAGACAGGAGGATGCTTACTCATTGTGGGTGCCCATGTCCTGTCTTAGCACAGGTGTCAAGTGATTGTATCTTATTGTTGTGTTCTTATTCTGTGCATGTTGTTTATGTTATATAGTGATCATCAATCCAAGTTCAGGCCAGGGCAGTGTATCATTCTCTCCCCTGGAAAGTTCAGGGGTTTGATGTCTAAGGGAGTGCATGTTCTATTTTTTCCCAGATTTTAGTGAAGCTTGGCAATGAAGTGAAAATTATCTTCAACTTTAGGGCCATAGAATATGACTGACCATCAGGGACCTAAATTATGCTGATTCTACTCCGTTTCCTCATAGGGTCATGTAGTAGTCGGCGCTCCCTGGAGAATATATATATATGGGATATGTATTTATGGCATATATTTATGGATTTACAAGATAGGCTTACGATGGCTGCTGTGGAAGAGTCAGGTGTGGAAGAGTACATAAGAATTGTCTGTGCACC